AATTAGATACAGAAACTGTGCGAGTTAAACTAAATTTACTAAACTAAAATATATTTCCAAGAAATTTTTTGGCATTACATATATTTAATTGAATATATAATTTATATAATAGTGGGAATTGACAATTGAGTTCGGTAAAATATATATAAAATATTCAGACTTTGATAAGAAATGAAGGAAGGTTACCAAGCCTGTCTTTTTGGAATCATCTAAAATAATGTTTTGGTGGTGGCAATATGTTAGGCATTGCCATACAAGCAATAGTTGCTTATATTATTAAATGAAAGTAAACAAAGCTATGGGAAAAATTGTTTTTAGAGTTAAGGCTTATACAAATGAAAATAAATATAAACCTTTAGATGGTAGAGCTGGGCTGGAAGTGACAGACCATCTTGCAGAAAGGCTGTCTCAACTAGGCTCCAAGAATTTGGCACTTTGTTACATAAGGCAAAAAGCCTAAAACAGTAAAAGATATATCCTATTCATATGTTTAAAGTAATATTACTATATATTAATGTCTTTCTACTACGTTTGCACTTATTTTTGTTATATTTGAGGGAACTATACACTAACATGTAGTAAATACCCATTTCTTTCTATAGCATACCATTTCTTTATTTATTCACTTCTGTCACTGAAAATGACTGCATTTATGATTAAAAGATATCTGGTTGACATTAGTTTTATATCGATGAGCTGTTGCTGTCTCCATGCCATAGCTGATTAAAAAAAAAGAGCCTTAAACTTTTTTAATAAATTATAAATATTTGACAGATCGAAAAAATCGATCAGTGTTGAAATGGTTCTTAGTTATTGGCAGAAGTAACTAATAGCTTAATTTCTTATTAAGTCTAAAATTGGAATAATGTGTATTTTTTAATTGAATTTAGAAAATATGTTGAGAATCAATTTTATATATATTTTATTATCATTAGCAGTTAAAATAACAATATTTTTAATGTAAATTTTTTCTTGCCGAAAATGACGCGACTTTATGGCGAAAAGAAACTACTAAAATATTAGACGGATTCGAATAGCGAAGAAAAGACAAGGACAAAAATTTTTAGTTAATTTATTGAACTTTGGCTGATCATTAAACGTTGTTGCGAGTATTGCCAAGTATGCATCATCAGTGGTCCTAGGAAATAATCGAATTTCTGTTTAATTAGTTTATAGTCCGTATATAATTTGTTGGGAGTGCAAGTGCCAATATTTTTCTTTTTATTTTAATTTTGATGACAGTAAAATTTCGTTAGTATTTCCAACTAGTTTTCTGGAAACTGTTACATGCAAATCCATTTTTTTTTTAATATTTAAATTTAAATTTAATTTATTTAAAAACAACAAATAAAATAAACCACATGCAACTAAAACAATTTGAAATTTTTCTTTTATTTGTTAGATTTTATACGTTTTTGTATTGTTGCAAAAGTACATAAATTTTATTACTGCTCCACCGCAGAACAAAATTTTAAAATCTTCCTTTAATGCTCGTAAATTTAGTTTCGACTACGAATTTTATTACTGCGATTTATTTGAGTTATTCTCAACTCCTAGTACGTATGTCATTTCCCTGAGATTGTTATAATTTACTAAACCAAGAGATCATAAAACTTTATACAATAATCATAATTTGAAATACAATTGTACAAGATTAAGCCAAAAAAAAAAAATTGTAACAAACTACACTTATGCACAGATAAATCTCTGCGTTGTATCTATATTCTGTATAACTAGTGTGTACTACTCTGGCAAGGACGGAAGAAAAAATTCCAAGGAAAAGTAAATCTGCACAAAAGAACAGTTTCCGGCTCATTTAAAAAGCAACTTTCAATAAAAATTTATCTTGAGGAAATTTATTATGATATTATTTACAAATAGTATGCTTTGCTTTTATAATGTCTTTATGCATGTACGGATACAAATGTATCTTAGCAACATACGACCAACTATCCAAGAATATGGCGGGCTACGTAAAAAGATGCTCGCGTACTGTAAATGTGTGTAAAAAGATTTTAACCTCGTATTGGCTAAGAAAATCAATAATTTTTTGTATATTAAAACTTATAATATTCTAACGATTTTCATTAGAAACACTGAAAAAAACTGAAAAAAACTGCCAAAAACATATTTGCTCAAAAAATAGCCTCCGGTGCGTTCAAATAGCATCCAAAATACCATACTGAAATGGGGCTTTTGAGCAATGGAGTGCATTAGAAAACTTCGTTTAGTAGTCCATAGTAATGTAGGGAAAATTTAAATTGAAATTTAGAATGAAAAGCAAATTTAAGCTACTAAAAACAAATAAAACAAAAAGGAATAAACTCCAAATCTTGAGTTATGCATATGAAAATATATCTTTTGCAAATTTAAAATATATGCATAATATATATAAAATATATATCTTCTACACATACCTATTTGTTTGTGTTAGTATATTTAATTTAAAATATTTTGTAGTCTTGACTGTTATAAATCCAAAGCAAATATTATTTTTTCATATCTTTTTCAGAGGTTAACTTGTGTCCAGTTTTCAGACTTGGCAATATAACAAAAAAAAAAAAAAACACGCACATCCATGGCAAGTTTGCAGACAAAAACTTAACTAAAATGAAACCCATAAAATCATACATAAAGCACAACAAGGGAGTTGAATATCCTTTTCCTGGCCTGCCATTTATTCTTATGGCATCATATTGGTCATAAGATGAACCATATTGCTTTAGGTCAAAACGTTCACACTCATGCTCACTCATAAAAAGCTGGTCGAAGCTTTAAGGAAATTGTTACTGTATCAAAATTTCCACTTTGTGGCATTTGTACTGGCCACAAATACTACTACAATTCCAATGTATTAAAAGTATAATAGATAGGCCCATACTGGCAAGTATACTTCTACCAATACTACTGATATACAATATTTTCTTTGTGTATTAGCCGATAAGTAAATGCAAATTTATGTTAAAATATTTTGCCAATGTATTCGCTATTTTTATGTATACGGATTAGATTGGAACCCTTTGTTCATTTTTTATAACAATATTATAATACAATACCTTACATTATATGAATCTGCTAGGTACAAAAGAAATAGTCTCTGTTTAGCAATATCCTAACATTTTATCACAAAAGGCTTTACAGCTTAAAGGAAAACAATTACTTTAGTTGATAAATTAGTATAGAACACAATGGTCAAGTGGTTGGTTCTAACTGGTACATGGAATATGTCATGGTTCTTCAATATATGTGCAGTAGGATTCTGGCATCAGTCTTTTCACGAAAGCATTGATCTCAGTCGAAAGAGTGCATCTAAGAAAGATAACATTTGATTAGTTGACAAAACTATAATAATGGCAGACAAACTCGAAGAACTACAATATCCGGTAATTAAGTAGTCGAAATTAGTAACGGTTGCAATCTAGAGATAACCACGTCGAAAAGAAAATTTATGTTTGTGATTAAAAGAAAAGTAAATCCTAGCAGTGCTGGAGATAATATTATACCTATATACATTACTCCAATAAGTACTC